TTTGTGCTGGTGTAATGGATTATTTTATATATGTCTTGTATATATGGAAGTCTGGAAAAATCCTTTAGATAGTACAGCTAAGTTCTGGAAAACAGCTAAAAATGTTGAAAAATCACTTTTTGTCCCAAATTGGAGTTTTCTTCAGTTGGTCTTTACTTTTTAATCTTGACTAGGCTTTGTGATGACTTTGTGATGTGTAAGAAGCCAGTTTAACATACTGGTTTTAAAATGTTTAAATGGTCTAATAAAAACAAAAGAAATGTAGCCTACAGAACAGACCTAAATGAATAAATTAGATCAGTTGAGTGAAGAGACGACGATGAGGCTTGCGTTTATGAAGACTAAATGAATGAACGGGGGCAGTCGTGGCCTAATGGTTAGAGAGTCGGACTTATAACCCGAAGGTGAATCTGAAGGTTGTGGGTTTGAGTCTCAGGTCCGGCAGGGATTGTAGGTGGGGGGAGTGAACGACCAGCGCTCTCTTCCACCCTCAATACCACGACTGTATATCAGTGCAAGGCCTTGAGCAAGGCACCGAACCCCCAACTGCTCCCTGGGCACCGCAGCAAAAAAGGCTGCCCACTGCTCTGTGTGTGTGTGTGTGTGTGTGTGTGTGTGTGTGTGTGTGTGTGTGTGTGTGTGTGTGTGTGTGCACGTGTGTGTGTGTGTGCACGCGCACTTGGATGGGTTAAATGCAGAGCAGAAGTTCTGAGTATCCGTCACTTCACTTAGAGACAGAGATGTGGATGATGCTGATAATCAAAGTGAGAACTCATTTGCCACTTTACACTTTTCTTCAGGTAGGTAGGCAGAATATTTCAGTTCAGGAAAGTCTATATATATACTATAGAACTATATGTAGTAGAAAATGTGAGCTTTTTCGTTACATAGTGGTTTTAGTATCAGCACATATCAGCACTATGGAAGTACAGGGAAATAAATTAGACCTGCTCATGAGACCTGGGAAATACATGCTCACCCAAATGCATGGGAAAAGTGTAAGCTGATGCATAATGTGTTCTAAATCCATATTTAAGCATTTGAGTGTGACACAATTTAAGAAAAACACTCACTTTTTGATAGTCCTCCACTGTTTTGATTCACACTCGGACACCCATCTGTGAATCATTTTGTCCCCTAATGTCAAAATCCCCTTCCTTTGGTTAGGCACATCAGATTTCTACAACCCAAAGCAAAAACAAAGCAAAAAAAAAGCTTGAGACAATTTAAAAGCATTTATTAATTAATAATAGGATCAATCGTGTCATATCTTACCTGAGAAGAGCACAAGACAAAGGATTGATTCCCGCCAGCAATGATGCTCTCGACTGTATGGCTGTTATTTGCCGCTGTGCATTAATAATTTTAACATTTGTTAATTACGTGCTTGTATCCAATTAAAAATTCATACCGGGGTTTGGTGATTACCTGGTGGCAGCTGTACAGGAAGTGGCACACACTGATTGGTCCTCTGCCCATTTCCCAGTTGTCCTTGTTCTCCACATCCAAATGAGTAGACTGTGTTTGACGATTCCACCAGCGCCAGAGTGTGATTCCTTAAATACATGGCAAGAAAATAATTAGTTACATTTACTAATTTACATCTGACCTCCTAAAATTAAGGTACTGTTAACATTAACATTCTGTCCTCATTTCAAATTTAGTTTACTGGAGTACAATACAACATAGATTGTGTCACTTATAAATACTTGTGAACTACACTGTATAATAATGTGTCTGATATAGCAAAATCATTTCACACTGCCTATGTGTCATATAAAAACTGCAGATATAGCATTTCAGATTCCAGATTGCGACTGCAAACTCATATTCAGTTATGACATAATATTAGACACAATACACACCTCCCACATGTGATCTGGGACACGTTTATACCCCAGAGCCCAGTAACCACACAAGGCTGAAGTTCATCTTTAAATGTGTTATGACCAAGCTGCCCGTAACGACCTGATCCGAACGTGAAAACTGCTCCTCCCTGGAATGAAAAAAAAATCATAATTGCACTTGTTATGTATTACAAATAAAGAGCATCAACTAAAAGTGATGTTGATTAACTCCTTAAAGTATCATACTATTATTATCTTAAATCATCTTGTTCAGTAACTACTACGAATTATTCAATAACTACCTTATAATTAATATATGTAAGGAATAAAACTGTTGACTGTTAGAGGAAAATAATCAACAAAAAGGTGGTGTGGCATGGCCCAGTGTGAAGCAGAGTTACTGTTACCACCCTGAAGTTGATTATTCTTCCTATAACGGCAAATCCAGAAGTGTTTTATTCCACAGCAATTTGCGAAATACTACTTTTTTTTCATTAATTAAATAATGACATGCCATAATTTGTATTCATTTATAGTTATTCTGTGGAACAGAAAACTGTGGGAAACTGTATGAACTATCAGTAATGTTTAAAATGTTTAAAAAAATCAATTTATGTGGAATGTCTGCCAAAAATGTCCCTGTGTATGTTGTTGCTATAAAAACTATAATGTATTATAACAAGTATACTAGCTGCATTAACATAAACCTGTAATTTCCTTTGCAGCTGGAACTACTGCATGCAAAGATGTTATAGAAAGCTAATCAACAGTTTCTGACCAGTCAGAATTGAGAATTCAGCAGTATGTGGTATAAATGATGGTTTGAGATTGAAGAAAGTCAAGCTTCTGGACCCTTGAGGGATCCCTGGGAGTTAAAAGAACAATATTTCTATGTGGTGAAGAATATAAAGTACACTATTAATTCTATAATGATACCTTTGACAAAGTAGCAGTGTGTTCCTCTCCACATGAGATGGAAATCGTTTTCTTTTGGCTCAGGTTATTCACACAGGTTGGAATGTACATGTCTGTGACAAGAAGTCAAATAGTCATTAGCAGATTGTTTTAAATACACTTTTGCGGGTAGCATCTACTCTATTTGTTATACATCATCTAAGGGTAAGAGGTTTAACTTGGAATTGGTTTATTACATTTCTGCAACTTCTTCTTCTTTCGGCTTTTCCCTTCAGGGGTCGCCACAGCGAATCATCACTCTCCACCTATCCCTATCTTCTGCATCCTCAACACTTGCATCCACTAGCTTCATATCCTCATTTATTACCTCCATATACCTCCTCTTTGGCCTTCCTCTTCGCCTCCTGCCTGGCAGCTCCATGTCCAACATTCTCCTACCAATATACTCACTCTCCCTCCTCCGTACATGTCCAAACCATCTTAATCTGGCCTCCCTAACTTTGTCCCCCAAACCTCCAGCATGAGCTGTCCCTCTGATGAACTCGTTCCTAATCCTGTCCAACCTCGTCACTCCCAAAGAGAACCTCAACATCTTCAGCTCTGCTACCTCTAGCTCTGACTCCTGTCTCTTCCTGTCGCTCTCACCACTGTCTTGTACACCTTCCCCTTGATTCTCGCTGATATTTTTCTATCACACAGAACTCCTGACACCTTTCTCCACCCATTCCAACCTGCCTGCACTCGCTTCTCTGCAACTCTGTCAACATAAATAATAAAATGGGATTTTAATAAAATCAGCACACCCTCCGTATGTCCCAGGCCCAGCTGCCCGGCACTGTTCCTGCCCCAGCCGAACACGGCTCCGGAGAGAGACAGGGCGAAGCTGTGGTCTCCTCCGGCGCTGATCTGAGCCAGTGGGATCCCACACAGAGACTTGAGGTGCTGAGGAGACAGAGAGCTCGGCTCACCTTTCCCCAAACCCAGCTGACCACTCGAGTTCCGACCCCACGTGAACAACTGACCATCTGAGAAGATGAGAAAGAAGCAACATCCAGTTCAACACATCCCATCATACCAAGCCAGCTGGTCTCTAAAGCATGTTTGTCCGATTTCAGGCTTTAGGATTCTCTAAATAATGTTTCTCAAAAGGTGAATGTATATAAGATGAGAAAAAAAAATACAGCACATAAAATGAAAATTAAACTTGCATATAAAATTACACACATCGTAAATATGAAATTACATGCACATATAAAAAAGAAAATTACAAATAAAATTTAAAATGAAACATTACTCTTTTGTTTCAAGTTTGCACTTTCATTGATTGTTTTATGCTCCTTCCATTCTCTGATCAAAATTACCCACACATCAATTCTACAGTATTTTTACACTTTTTTAGGTTCATTGGAGAAATCGTCTATAATGCCATCTAGGAACTGAAGTGCCCAGGTGAAAAAAATATCATTTTACTAAAAATTGCAATAGGTTTTGTTGCCAAACAGGACATAAGAGTTAGCCTTACATAGATAAGAAAACGTTTAGTCCACATACACTGCCCTCCAAAAGTTTGGAAACGCCTGAACAAAATAGGGTTTTTGGGCAATATCAGCATAAATCCTCTTTAGTTAGTGACCATTTTGTATTGATAATAAGGGACAACACAAACTATGAAAACATATTTTATTAAATAAAAAGTTTATGAACATAAACATGAACATAACATAGAAAAATACTCAAATTTTGG